GTGATGAAAAAGAAAACAAAAATTGAAATCCGAAAAAACTTGTTTGGAGAGAGGGGGTGGGAGAGGTGGGTAGGGGAGAGAAGGGAGAGGGGGTTGGGGTTAGACGTGAGGGTAGTTGGAGTTTTTGGAAAATGTTTTCCTAACTTTTTGTAGGGAAGTCATTTTCCAATTTCAGGAAAATATTATATTTAGGAAAATATTTTCCAAACGATTTTGTGCAACCAAACAGTGAAAATGAAAAAATATTTTCCGTTATACAAAACACACCCTAAGTTGCCGGTAACGTCTAACTCAAATGTCAGGTGTTGGTCAACTTGGGTCTACATATCAGGAGAAGTTTTATTGTGTGCCTCACACAACTGACATTAGTTGTGTTAGGCTCTTTTTGTTTTGTGGACCCCAATCTTACACTCTTGGGTCCACAAAAATCTGGGTCCACAAAATTGTAAGACAAAAAAGATGCTTCATACAACTAGTATCAGTTGTATGAAACACAAAATCAAATTTTCCACATATCAAGGGTTAATAATTCTAACTCCGTATAACTGGTACGATATGTGGGCATGTGTGATATTAGTTGTTTATGAAAGAGTTAATGTTCTAACATAAAAATGCATCATAAATATTTTTTTGGAAATTAAATTCTGAATTTGAGGAAGTGCAGCTCTATATAATTGGCCTTTAAGAAACCATTTCACAAAATTAGATTAGGAAATCCAGTGCCTCAGGCTCATTTAACATTCCAAGCCAAAACTAAAGAATCAGAACTTTAATCACCGCGTTTTCTCTTCATTTATACAAACGTGTAAATTGAGTCTACCTCCTTCACTATTATATTTTAATCACGATTGTACTTACCGGAACTTTCGAGGACGCTCCAGTGAATATGATTTATAATGTTTTTTTCCATTTGTTTTGTTCATTATTTCTTTGTTTTTGTTATCTATTACGTATTGCATTTATTAGAGAGCAAAGTTCAATGTTTTTATATTAATATATAATGAAACATCTGCTTGTAATCCATTTCAGGTTTCATCTCTCGGCCACACTCAAGAATGCATAGACTCTGCATGGGAGAGGAAGAGAGATTAGATATTGACATGTTGCATTCTATCATATCTCTTAGACTGATTCAACACTAGACTGATTCAACAGACTACTATTAATCATGCATTTAGATATAGTATATTCTGTCAATTGTCATAGTTAAAAGTCTAAGTGGGAGATTGTTGGGATATACTATTAACCATGGATTTAGTTTAGATATAGTATTTATTATGATATAATTGTTCATTCAATTTTAATAAAGTTTTAAATAGATCATACATTAGTTTGTATCCTTTGCTTATATAGTAGATGATTTTGTGTATAGAGTTTAGCTTATACACGGAAGATTAAATCATCGGTTCTTATAAGTATAAAATTTGAGTTCACAATCTAATGATGGAATTGGACAAACCATCAGGAATGATTGTAGCACAAGATTAAATATAATTTATTTTGATTATGGGAATGGTTTAATTCCAACTTCTTGTGCTAGTACATTTTGTATGTATTGAACGGCAAGTAGAGATAAGTATTTTATACTGACTTAATAAAATAAACTCTCTAGCCATTAAATGTACTTATACTCTTAATCTTGATATAATTGTTATTAGTTGTGTATATTATTATTGTTTTGATTTATTAAAATGCGAGATTCTTTCGTGGGTCAATATGCCTGGTAAATTGGACAATAATAATGTACATTGGCGAAGTAATAGTTAGTTGATGGAATCCATGTCTCGGTTTAGAGATTGATGATACACCTTTATGAAAGCTTATAAGTTTTCATGTGTAAACCCGGCCGATGAATTTTGTATCTAACACATGAAATAAGTTAGGCGAAAGTCTAAAGAAAATAATCAATAAATTAAACCGTCAGTAATTTAATTTAATTGATTAGTATCTGAATCTTAACATGGAGAGTTAAATAAGATTTAATGAGTGAATTTCAAAATTGAATAAGGAGTGCAATTATGAATTTGTAGTGGAATAATTCGTAATTAATTATGGTGGATATTAATTTCGAAAATTATAAATTAATTCCATAATTGGAAGTCTTGTTAATTAAATTCTGTGGTCCCTGCTGTGCCTAAATAATAGGAAATAAAGAAATCCTTTTTCTCGTGGAAAAGAAAACCTAACAGGTTTTGGAAAAGGGTTTTAACCCTTAAAACTTGTGCTATAAATACAAAAGGTTTTCCACCTAGATGAGGAGAGAAAAAGGGGGCCGAAATTTTCAGCCTATTTTCCTAGAAAATTTTGCCCACACGAAATTACTATTTTCGGATATTATTTGGGTAACACAGTAGAAGACCGTGGAACGTTCGAAGATCGTGATCGTGCGGGTTGTGGAGATTTCAACGAGACGAGCGTGAATATGGCTCTTTATTCATGTGAGCCTTCAGTTTCACATCGTATCTAAACCAAATCCATGGTTAATAGTATATATCCCAACACATCATATATTTAAAATTGCGAACAATCTATTTCTTGTTTTTTTGTTGGTGTCTCCTTCACTAAATTCATCCTCGTTTATGATATGGTTTCTTCTCTTCCTTTTCTTAACAACCAGTGACATGCTGATCTCCGTCAGCTTTTTCCAAATAATTCAATGAGACTGTATACGGTCAAAATCATAGGCCTCCGATTTACAGAATCGAGGGTCCGTTATAGGCCTGAGTTCAGGTGAGGTCGAGTTCGAGACCGGTGGACCAGAGGCAAGTTCGAAGACAGAGTTCAATGCCCGGAGATAGGTGTACGAGGAGGACCAGGCCCGAGTATACTCGACCCCGAAATAGTACCGTTAGGAATTGTAACATAATGAGCTAGATTCCTGCCACATCCCCATAATTGCGGCACAAATTCCGGAAGAAGATTGTATGATTCTGTACTAGGCGGTTAGATAGCTGTATCAAGAATATTCCCTACTGTAAATAGAAATATTCCTTATTTAGGGTTCCCCTATTATATAAAGGGGACTCCAATCATTTGTAACATCATCTGATCACTAGGCAAAGAATATACTCTCTACCTTTCTCGCCTACTGTTCATCAGCATTGTCCTTTAGCTCTATTGTTCTCGCTTTACTTTATTTACTTAATTGTTCTTATTATTCCAAGCCTACCTCGAGATCACTGAGCTCGAGGTCACTGCCGCTAAGTAACATTGGTTTGATTCACTTTACTCTTTTATTTCTACTTCATACTTCTTGATTATTAATTGGTATTGAACTAAATCACGTATCTTTAAAACCACAAATCAAATTTAATTGTTACTTGTATTTTCGAGGTAAACAGTTTGGCGTCCACCGTGGGGATAAAGATAATAGTTATTATTTCATTACTGATTCTTATTACACACGTTACTTTTAAACTTTTTCTTGTCAAGAATTTTTAATTTTCAGGCTGAAACATGCCTAGCTCACAAAATGCACCTGTTCATGACAACAAAGGTCTTGGTGAGAACAACAATGTAGGGGTCGGTGTACCACCGGTAAACCTTGGGGAAGTGACAAACATGGAACCAGTTGATGTTGGTTCTCTTATTGCTATAAACACCAACTTAGGCACAGACCCCGAAGGGAGTGTACGCAAAGAATCCTGACCAGGGGACCAAGGAACACCAGGAATAGGAGGTAGGGGAGTCAGCCTCCAAGTGATATTCGAGATGCTGCAGGCTCAACAAATTGCTATCGCTCAACTTCAAAGTCAAA